AAGATTACAGAAAGGAGAGCAGGAGAATTTGCCAACAATTTAGAAACAGGGGCTATCCAGATACTATAGTGCATAGTGCAGCTTTAAGGGCTACTGAAATAAACAGAGCAAATGTATTGAAATCTAATAAGAAGACAAGAACTGGCAATAAAAATAATATTTGGGGGGCAATAGAATATAACTCCTTGGCCCCTAGAATCAAAAGCATAGTACACAAACACTGGCACGTGCTTAGTGACATACCGGGTTGCTCTGAGAAACCTCAAATTGGATACAGGAGAACTAAAAATCTCAAGGACTTACTAATACATACCAACCATCTAACTGCACCTATTCAAAACATACAAAAAACAAGACATTTCAAATGTTCACACTGTAGTTGTTGTAAACAAGTTTGGCAAACAGATGAAGTAATCTTACCCGGGTTTAGGATGCAACTAAAACATTACAGTTCGTGTAACAAGTTGGGTTGTGTATCTATTAAAATGTGTGTGTGAAAAAATTTATATTGGGTCTACTTCTAGACCTATCAGAACAAGAATTACAGAGCATAAATCCAAACTGAAGGCTCAGAACTTGGACACCCCATTAGCAATTCACTTTAAACAGTTTAATCATTGTCATGATAGCTTTCAATATGTTGTATTAGAAATTGTACAGAGAATTCCTGGGGAAAGGACTGACTTAAGAAGACGCCTCTTACAGCGAGAGATGTTTTGGATTCATCGGTTGAACAGTGTATTTCCTAATGGACTGAATGCAGAAATTGACCTTTCATGTTTTTTGTAAACCATATGATTTTTTTGGTAAACTATATTATGTTTGTGTAAACTACATGATGTTTTCTTTTAAGTGTACTGCCTCCTACTTAGAGATGCGAAGGCCCGGAAAAAAAACGGAACAATTCGGAAAAAAAACAGTTTTTTTCCGTTTTTTTCCTGAAGCCTTTTTTGTTTTTTTCCGAAAAATTGGAAAAATTGAAAAAATATAATAAATTGACTATGAAACGTTTTATTTTAACATGATGAATAAAATATTTTAAGACAAGGTGTTCAAATATTTTCCAAATCATTTCTAAAATATATATATATGGTATCAGATTGATCTAATTTCTGTGCACTGAGGAAAAGCAAGTCCTAGCTTACAAACAATTCTCCAATGCAAGAACAAGATGCATTTCTTCTTTTAGGAGGTGCGATTGTCAGAAGAAAATAAAAAGATTTCAGTTTTGTTTTTGCATGTGGATGGGTATTCTGTTTGTAATAATTGTTTGGATACACTATATTTTTAATATGCTAGTTGTGATCATTTCCTGCCAAGTAAAAATGTCCATAGTCATATTTTTATGTTCCTAAAGTAACAGAATGACTTTCAATCTAGAAAAGACAAAAGAAATGCTAATGTAGCATTTTTTTCAATTTTTCCAAAAATT